ACCCTGCGGAAACCCTCACAGGACATCACCCGGCAGGCCTTGCAATGCGACCCTCGGGGAAAGAGACGGGTCGGTCGCCCTAAGACCACGTGGAGACGATCCTATGAAGAGGAAATGAAGAAGTGCAACCTGTCGTGGGGTGAAGTGAAAAAGGCTGCCCAGAATAGACTGCGTTGGAGAGCTGTTGTTGAGGCCCTTTGTTCCACGGGGAACTCAAGGAAATAAGAAGAAGAAGAATGATTTCACACTTTCATTACTATAAAGCATCAGGTTTGCAGTTATTCATGTTATTAAGACGGTGTTTCAGGTCTTTAGATTTCTGATGAGCTGTCAGCAAAAGTCAGTCACCTGCAATTATAAATGTTAACAAATTATAGGTTTGCAGTTATACATCTTAATGAGCATCTTATAAAAGGATTTTGGTCTGGATGCCCCACATCTCTTTTCCAGAAATTGCCAAAATCCAAAGTGTTGCGGTGGAGAAGGATTTTCCACAAACTGGCAACCCCAATATTGTTGTTAATGCCTAATAACTAATCTACAAAGCATTACTAAATTACGTATTAATAATCAATTACAGCTTATAACCCAGTTATAAATGGGACCTTAACGGAAAGTGAGACATTGTAGGTCTATAACATAGCAAAACGCTAGTCTGCAAGTATGGTATCATCATCACCATCACCGTTACTGGAAATAACGTGATAGCACCTCTTGTTCTGCACGCTCCAGGCGACGCTTGGCCTCACGCTCCTGTTCTGCTGCTTGGGCCTCGTCCCTCCGCACGCGAGCGACGTTGTCTTTGTTACGCACATGCCAGCTCTTCTTTGGGAGGATGTTCATTGTTGCCCTGACGACTGTTGGTACTGTACGTTAGCAGTCAGTTAGCTCTATTTATATGAAAATAGCAAAGGTTATTCCAGAGCAGTAAGCACAGAGCGAAAACACTCAGTTTGTTTATAAACCTTTATCATTTGTACTAAGGTAAAGTGAGGAAATCAGTGGAGCTGAAAACTGACCAGGTATGAAAATAAAAAAGCCACCTTGTGTTGTAAATTTTACTTGGATTGCTTTTTACAACCAAGCTAACGTTAGCCAGGATTAGCTACTTTCTAACTTAACGCTATACTAAACAGCTGCGAGCACAGACATTTAACTTGATCCCTCACAACAAAGTCATCATTCCAACAAATTAACATACAAATACAGAACGCTAAGCACTGGCACTACCTTGTTGGGAGAAGAGTATCGTATTGCTGATGTCTGCAGTAGCTCGCAGGAATAAGTAGACCCAAACCGGAAGTAAACATTGCAGATTGTTGTAACAACACAATTGTGACACTAGAGGGAGTATAACTCTTTTAGTTTTATTACGTAAAAAGCACAAAATATATAAGGCATACAAATGCCATTTATTTCCGACTTTTATACAATTTGACAACATAACGTAGATTAATAATAATCATATTTTAATGACCCTTTTCAAATTATCGTAGGAAAAGGGATCTTTTGGTTTAGATCTGTCAATAAGCACATCATGTTTATAGCAATAACCTTGTTGCGGGGTTGCCGGCTAGAACTCAGCCAACACTATGACACTGACTTAGTTTTTTCAGATATCTCATGTCTTTTCACGCTTAAGGTAAAAAAAAAGGTCATAAAAACTAAATATTGTCCATACAATCTGTTATCTGCAGTCTTGCACTCCATTATGTTTTGGTATCTGAAGTTGTCGGCTCAGCTCCGCAATTTGCTTGACAAGGAACTGCTTGTCGCGGCCCTCCTGTAAGCCAAAGACCAACCACTGCATTAGTAAAAGCGAATGCCTGCAAATATTAGGACATCACATAGCAGCCTACACATGGTTAAAGTTCATGACCTGTTAAGTCTTTTCTTTATAACACCATAAAGGTAAATGACACCAACTTACCAGTTTCAACTGAGCTCTCAGCAGAGCAACATTTTTCCCATAGACAGAAGCTAGGGCTATAAAATAGCACATGACCACACTGTCGGAGGACAAAAGAGCCATGATTATACATCATAAAATGGACTGTGAACACCATAAATTACACAGGTAAAATATAGGCTGAAATCTATGATTAGGATTAAATGCAGCACTGTATATATAGTGTATACACTCACTGGCCACTTTATTAGATACCCCTGTACAACTGTATTGAATTCAATGCAACATGTCTTCCTTAAAACATCTGTGTTTATGAAGCTCAAAATGCTTTAGTTTTTGTTGAAATTGCCATAAATGTGTAAATTCAATTGTATGTTTAGTAAGGAGATCATAGTTAACGGTGGTTTTTACCGACTACCTTATATTCAGAGGTGTCTCTATATTTTTGTCCTCTCTAGCTACATACATAAGAGGGTCAGAATATTAGGGAAACCTCTGAATATAACACCACCTGCAACTATGACCTCAATAATAAACATAATAAAATGTACACATTTATGACAATTTCACTAAAAACTGAAACACATTGAGCTTCATAAACACAGATGTTAAGGAAGAAGTGTTGCATTGATGTGCATACAATTGTGCAGGTGTACCTAATAAAGTGGTCGGTGAGTGTGTATAGCACCGATCCTACAGAAAGCACAGGTTCACTCACCAAGATAACACAAACAGAGGGATGGTGAATGCCTGGGAGCCTATGAAGAAGAGAAACTCTTGTGTGGTTGTAGAAAGGCTATAGAAAGAGGTTGGAACAATGGACCAAATGTTGGATAGGAAACGGAAGGGCCCACAACCCATTGAAGGACGGATCCTGGAACATGGAAAACATTTTTATCCAAACTTTCTAGTGGTGGATTTAAGTGGTGGATTTAATATAGAGCATTTAAAATGCTCTATATTATGAATGTAGAGCAAAAACCTCACGTTTTTTCTCACTAGTATTATTTATCATTCCTAGTGCTAAAACAAAAAGCACCTGTTGTTATGATTGTTACAGGGCAGAAGGAAGCAGTTAGCACTCACTCAGCCAGACTGTAAATCATGACAGCTGTGGCCAGGATCCAGCCAAACAGAAGTACCACCAAGAAAAAGAAAGCGGAGGTGGTAGAACGAAACGTCTTCAGTGCTGGTCGACAGTTATAAAAGAGCGTGATCTAAGGGGGAAGCGGCAATGGAGATATGAAACAGGGTGAGGGACAAAACCAAAACAGATTGTTAGTGAATAACCTTTACCTCACCGAGTCAACAATCTGGCATTGTGTGACATGTTGGTTGTGTTAAAGCAACATCTTCACCTTTTTGCAGTAGAAGAGGATGACAAACTTAATGGTGTTGATGAGTGGAAGCAAAGGGCAAAAAAGAGCTCCTGTCCAAACCACAGTCTGACCATAAACCAGGCTGAGTACATTGTAAGGGACCACAAACTCTTGCCGACCCACCCACTGAGCCAACTTACTGGGCCAGTTGTCCACCACCATCCTGACACACAAACACAGCACAGTCACATGGCTTAACATCTTCGCTGATTTACCAAAATGTGCAGATTCATTCTAATTTATTATAGACAAACTGTTGACACAATGATTTGTACCTCCGTGGAAACTCCACCAGGACGAGGACAGCGACGTTGATGAGAAAGTCAAACAGTGTCAGCTTGTACATCTCTTGTCCTACACGTGTTTCCCAGCACTACATCATCACACAAACATTCAAAGAATACGATTTTACAACTAACCATGTTTTGTGTTCTTTGGTGTTTCCCCCAAATTCTTAAGTTAGAACTATGTCACTCAAAGTAGGTACATTATCTTCTAATAATAGTACAAAAAGCTGTAATAATAGCACACATTTGATATTTTTTGATATTTTAACAAAGACTCCAGTGTCAGTAGGTAAGACAGTCATCTACTTCTATCAGGGTATTCATGATTTATTCAAAGACTGGCTGTGTGAGTCTTGAATACTGTAATTTACTGAATAACAACAGATTCGAAATATGTTTCAAAGTCTATTCTGGTGACTCACAGGTATTTGGTAAACTCAAATGACCAAGAATCTGTTTGTCTCTCTTGCTTATGTTGTAGTTATGTAGTTGACTCCACTAACTTTTAACATTTTGTCATCTCTTCTCCTAACTGCAGAATTGCTTTATATTTGTCATCTGAAGAATTCGCTCCTATAGTTGTCTAACAGCTTGGAGCCTCCTTCCATACTGATTGTGAGGAAGAAGCATCTTAAAAATAATTCTCATGAGCTCCAGAGGATTATAATTACCGGGTATACTTCATGGTTGTATTGGCACAATTCACAAGCTCCGCTGTCTGTGTGCCCCTCACAGGTGATCTGACGCCACAGAGTGAAAAGCAGAGCACCCAGACTCACCAGACGCAGGAATACTGCCCTGAACGAGGAAGAGAAATTGGGTATTACTATCGATCTAACTGGGATTCTCATGCTAAGGTTATTCGGGTGTTTATACAAGGATTAGAGATTATTCAGTTTTAAACCATCATAAAGATTAAACTAAATGCAAACCAGTTGACATTATCATTCTCCCACATAAACACCAGTGCATACCTTAATAGTGCCATTATGACTGTAGTGCTAGGGGCATAACGCTCTATTAAGGCGATCTGGTCGCACAGCAGAGGCACCAGGAAGTTTCCAGCAGTGATGACAATGGAGGGTAGGTACTCAAAAATTAAACCCAGGATCCCTTGCTCCCCACTTCTTTGCTGTTTGGAAGAGTTGGGAGCCAACAGTTCACCCAAGACTTTAAAAAGACTATGTTGGCTTCATCACTGAACTGTAACATCATTTACTGTACCTGGCTGAAGTTGGTGGCCAAAAAGATGCAGTAGAAGGCTGCTCCAATGAGCCCACATGATATTAAAAACATTAAGACACGTAGAGAGTATAAAACAACTTTTTGACATGAGGTCAGAGCAGCTGCCTGCTTCTTTATTCTCTCCTCTTCTAGATCCACCTGATGTAGACAGAGGAGACAGAGGTGAGGGGTTATCAAAATGCATCTCACTTAAAGGAATAGTAAAAAATAAAATAAAATAAAATAAAACATGGATCTCATTTCTATTTTTCTTAAATCCTCCAAATCCTGCTAAACAGGACAGATCCCCTCTGACCTGTAGCCGGTAGTGGATGTTGTTCTGCTTCAGTTTGGTAGCTTTGCCTCCCAAGCAACCGTAGTCCCAGCCAGTAAACACTATCATACTGTAGTTGGCCACAGTGCTGCCTCCTGTTGCCACAGCAACTCGAGCTGCAGTTCCCATGCTGTGTATAGATGCACAGTGTCATTCTCTTCATGTCTACTAACTTTTTGTACTGAGATTGCTCTGCACACACACACACATAGAACAGTGTGAAGGCTCTGCACACACACACACACACATAGAACAGTGTGAACCTGAAAGTGTGCTGGGACTGACCGTGCTATGATACAAATGAGACAAAAGATGAAGTAGAAGACCACGGTGAAGAGGTAGGCCAGGGGGATGTTGTAGGAGAAGTTTCTGTCCTCCCCCAGTGTGTTGTTGTAATAGCCATAAAACAGGTATGAATATTCCATAAAACCCTGAACCAAAAGTAGCAGTTAGTCACTAAGCAAATCTGATGTACTTAAATATAGACAAGAAACAGTTCATAGCTGCCATTGAGCACACTGAGGTTATGTGCATTGTATTTTAGTGTATTGTATTTTGGGGAATGCAAAGCTGTGTGTACTTCTCAATTTTGTTGAAAACTGGGTATGGAAATAGCCTGCTAAAACGCTGATGACTCACTGATATTCATCCATATCTATACAGCCTATCCTGTAGAGGGCTGCAGGGGAGCTGGAAAGAATCCCAGCCAACAGTGGGCAGGGTACACCCTGCACAGGATGCCAGTCTCTCACAGGGCTGACGTATAAACAAACAACCATTCACACTCACTTTCAGACCTACGCACAATTTAGAGTTGCCCATTAAAATAATATGCATGTCTTTGGAATGTGGCATGAATCCAGAGTGTACAGAGTAAACCCACGTAGGCACGAGGAGAACATGCAAACTCCACACAGAGAGGCCTCGGTCAGCCACCAAGTTCGAACCTTCTTGCTGTGAGGAGACAGTGCAAGACACCGCAGCGTGGTGGCACCTCTTACTTACAGTGTATCATCAACTTTTATTTTGAAACCTAGACACCTGAGTCTGACATATCACACTGCAATTTCTCACCGTTCCTGAAAGTAAGTCAAGGAAGTACTTGTAGAACACCACCAAGCCTTGAGGATTAGGGTCATACTCCATGCACTTCTCTGGACCTGGAAGACACAGCATGAGGAAGATTGCTTTACAGGTCCCTGAACATATAGATCATGTAGTTCATATGGGGCACGCTGTATGGTTTTAGAAGTAACAGAAACGAAGGTAAAAGCTGCAGCTACTTTTAAATACCTGTGACTCATTAGATAGCAGAGGCAGAAGGTCCTCTAGATAAAAGTATTGTCTTCATACAACTTAAAAAATGTTTTGTTTATTAAAATGATCTTTTTTAGGATATTAAGTCAAAATTGTATCATATATTTTACTGATAGTGAAAATTAAACCTGAATGTCCGTTATTTTCTAGGTAGTGTTTTGGGAGGAAGCCCTCTCTTCATGTACCAGTGAGCATTTCTTCCTTTTATTTTTGAGGGGAATACCATCCTGTGCCCTGAAGCAGGGCTGCTGCCTGGAAACTGTGAGGATTCCTGTTTTTATTAGAATGACTGGTGCTAAAACATAAGAAGGCAGGAAATACAGACAACTGAAGGGCCATGGAAACACAATGTACTACTGCCACGTGTTACCCCAAAGTTAAAGCAAAATTCAATGTGAGCAAAATGTCATTACCGGTGCTGTTAGCAAGGCTTGTCCCATCAGATCTGAAGACAATGTTGGGGATAAGAACAAATCCAGCAATCAATAAGAAGGAAACAAAATTGAGCACCACCAAAAATCGCAGGAAAAGGAAGTAAGACTGGACACCACCGCCGAAGTTCCCTGTGTGGGCAGAGGACTCAGATTTAGTGCAAACTGCATCGTACACCACAAGTGTAAAATAAATGGACACTTTTCCATTTGAAATAATATGTGGAATGTGCACCTCCAATCTTTTGCAAGGACTTGTTCCACAGTGTGAGAAATCCCCTGGCATTGTCTTTGAGTTTATGCAGAGATTTGGTCTTTTTCCTTTTCCAGGACTCCACACTGGAAACCACGGGCACATGCATCTGCTGCACCTGTCTGTAGTGGACAACATCTTCATGACTCTGGAGTAACCTTAGGTTAATATAATCACTACTAAAACTTTATTTTACATGTCTAGACTTTCCAAATAATTTACTAACTTAACTCTATGTTTGGTATCTTAACAATTTCTGAGGGCAATATTTGGCTGTTGTTCACCAGCTAGAAAACATCCCAGTGAGAGTGAATCAAAACCGGCTGCGAGCTGGAAAAACCAGAGCAATGAGCTGAAACTTGCTATGAAGCTCTCTAAAGTTGAGGGGAACTATTAGGTGATAATTCTCTTTAGGTTCATCACAACCCCTTAAACACTGTATTTTGATATGATTATTTTAATAATATCTACATTAGCTTTAAAATATATTTCAAACTTTATTTTCAATTCAGTTAAAATACCTTATAGCTCTTTTTAGTGCCATGGGCAATGGGGCACTCCTGAGGTCCCGGTGTGGTTCACTGTTACCGTTCTCATCCTCCTCTGAGGGTGCCGAGCTCCAGTTGAACTGGGGGTAATTCTGACTGGACGCTGGAGATGAAATCCTTCGTAACCTCAGTGCTTGCTGGTCACCAGGATAACCATTCCCTGTGTGTGGCGGAGTGAAGAGCAGAAAAACAGTAAATGGAAATGACAGTATATCAGTCAGGTTAACAGATGACTCGATACCAATAGTAACATTAGTTAGGTATTCACTATTTAAACGGACTAATATGTACAAGTAAATGTGGTCAGAAATAAGAAAACACACACCTTCAGTGTAGTCATACAACTTGCCTGAGCCTTGTTTCTGTGGATCACTGGCCATTTCTCTGATGTAGCTTTAAAAACCTTGCTATTTCACCACGTCTGATACTTGACTAATTCAGCACAAAACAAATGGTGAGCCAGCTCTTCATAAGGAAGTGCTGCCTACCCTCCACATGGACTTTACTCCCTTTGTAACTACCCAAACAGGTACTTCCTTGTATGCTTTAACCCATTATTTCCAAGGAGATAGTGACCAATCAGCCAGAAGTGAAACTCCAAAGCATAACAGTAAACTCAATTGTATTACTGAGGGGTTTGCAGTTTCCTTTGACTGTGCTGGAAACTTCAGGAATTACTTTGGTGTATTGGAATTGTGGGCAAAATTAATCACCCACTCAATGTGTTCAAAGTAATATTATGAATTCTCCAGCCACAAGGTGTTTGTTTTAACTACACACACTGGCTCTTGGCTGAAAGCACTGCAACAGTGTTGTAACTAAGCAGGTGTGTGTTCGTGTTCGCTAATGCTAGAGTTCATGACAACTGAACAAATGTGATATATACAGTAAAAGCCTTTATACAAGTGTAATACGAAGAATTACAAATAATTCATGGGCATTAATATCAAGTAGACTTGGAAAAAAGAAAAAGCACATAACATTGGTAAAGAAATGCCGTTAAGTGTTCCACATGTAACACTGTTACAAAGCAGAGTGTCACGGTGCAGTATATAAAGAAAAGGCAGAAAATAAATATACTGAAGATGAGCTGAAGGACCATAAGTGTTGGCACAGAGAGAGTTACAGCAGAATAATTCAAATGATCTCAGTTCTAAGTAACATTCTGTCATGCTCATGTAAAACCTGATGCACAGTAGCGTGATCACACAGTTTGAAACGGGCGTAAAAGAACCCTTTGCTTGTTTTCTGACTGGACAGTTCAGTGTGGTTAAACCTGGGCAATAATTCATCATCATCAACTTGCATTGTGTAGATATCACATCATATTATTTTAGAGAGGTCTACTGTCTGAATAAATGTTTCAGATATAGCCCTACTAAACAACAAAATTTGTTACTGATGTTTTTGTTTTACACAGATTACAAGTTTGGCCACATGTACATATACATCACACTGGGATAGTGTTATGTTTGAACATCCATTTCATTATTTTATATATAATCTAACACATATCTTTCATTTTGTGACATACAATATTGAAAAATTACTGAAAACACCTTTCAGCCATGCCTCCAACACTAGTGCTTTTACTCATGGCTTACATTAGCTGCTTATAGTTATGTGAAACCTTTTGTATAGTGTTTGGTCCCAACCCTGAATGGTCTGTGAACAGCAGCACAGACACGGTGGCAGTGAACAGACTGTTGCCATCTTTCACATGGCATGTATTCAACAGTAAGAAAAACAAATCCATACAAAACATCATTTTGGATTCACTGGATTAAGGGAGTAAAATAAGGCCCACAAATTTTCAACCAATAAAATAAGAGACACTATAATGCTGATAATACTTGAGGTTATTTAATTATTTAAGCAAGTCTTAGGTAGCAATCCAAATGTAAACTGGACCTTCACCAGGCACCACGAAGCTTGTATTTCTACTTTAAATGAGTTAAAGTCCACTGATACTGTAAATAAATGCTGCACAGTAGTTTAACATTGCAATGTTTCAGCATTAACTTTTTCAGAAGCATAACTTTAAGGTTGTTTGCTGTGGTCAAAAACATTCAAGCTGATGATTTAACATGTCAAATGGCAGTTTTCCATAAAAGTAATGAGCCCTAATAATGATACCATCATCATAATCTATTCACTCCAGCCTCCAGTCTTATGTTACTCCAGTACTGTAACATAAGACTAAGTGCTGGTGGAATGTTGTGTTGGTTAGGGATCTCATGGGTATTGTTTGAGTCCCTTTGCAACCTGAAACAGCATTTTAACAGGTCAACAACCATGGTTTGGCCAGTAATACAGCTTCAAAACACTTAAAACTGGGCATGGTGTCTTGAAATTAAATCACACATACTCCACAGGCAGATGCAACAGCTACCACCCATAATACAACATTAACATTCCTCTCCCAGTGTTCACAGTACCTTTAAATACATACAGTGGGTACGGAAAGTATTCAGACCCCCTTAAATTTTTCACTCTTTGTTATATTGCAGCCATATGCTAAAACCATTTAAGTTCATTTTTTCCTCATTAATGTACACACAGCACCCCATATTGACAGAAAAACACAGAATTTTTGACATTTTTGCAGATTTATTATTAGCATATGGCTGCAATATAACAAAGAGTGAAAAATTTAAGGGGGTCTGAATACTTTCCGTACCCACTGTACATGAAATGTCTCCAGTGGCAACCCTTAGTGGAGTTAACGTGTCACAATTTTCTTTTGATTTATTGTACTTTTAATAAACTCAAGTTAAACTTTTCTCACAGGAAATATTGAGCCTGTGTGCCCATTGTTGAGGGAAGGAGAGGGCTACAAATTCTAGTCTTGGCATAATTTCTCCTCTAAAGTATCTAACCAGTTCGTTTCTGCAGCTTCTTTCAGTGCGTTTTTTCTACCAGTTTCTCTTTAACATTTTCTATCTTCTCTCCCTCTCTTTTGTCCTCCTTGTCCCCTCTCCTCCCTTCTCTTTTGCCTCCCTTCAGCACCCTGCCCACTATTATACAGCAAACAGCAACGACGTGCATGATAAAGTAGATGGACGTCCAGTAATCGATTGTGTCAGAAGCCTTCAGCAGCACGAAGCCCATGCACATGTAGTCATAGGCCCTCATCTTCAAGAACCAGTGAACCCAGTCAAAGATGTTCTGTCCACGAGGGCCCAGTTTAGCTCGGACAGACACCTCCATGGCAGACTCAGCTGCAATGCACAGGGGGATGGTGAGGAAGGAGAGGTAGTAGCCAGCGTGTATTCCATGCCAGTAAGCACTGATGAACATTGTCCAGCCAGCCCTGAGGTTTAAAAACAAAGAAAAGAAATATTTAGGTCACTGAAACCTATTTCACACAAGAAGAAATGAGGCTGTTCAGGCAGGATCAGGATAGTTTGCGTATTTAAAAAAAAAAGAGTTAGCATTTTAAAGTCTGTGGTAGGACATGAGGTAATCACTACCTGTGCTCTGATCTTCAGGAAATATACATAGAAATTTTCCATAATAAAATCGGATGTGAATAATGTCTGCAGATAGTGTATGTTTTTATTGTCAACAAATCTCATGAAAAGACCAAAACAACAACAACAACAAGCTGACCCTGTGTAGCCACAGCCCATTTCTTTGTGCCAAAAAATTCCAGTGTTCTCCAAAAGCTGTTCAAATGCATCAATGAGGCACACTGTTGCACTGGGAGATGTGTTGCTTCATCGCCACAAACAAGCACACGTTGTAGCTTATCTCTAATCACTCCCACGTACACCATCCTGCTGTCACTCACCAGAGCACCAAATGTGGATTAATCAGCAGCTAAAGTTAGCCGCCAACAGAACACCATTTACTTCCTGTTTAAGTAATGTTTGCTAAAAACTACAGTGCCTAGCTGTTCTAGAAAAATTGACGTACGTAACCACAGCTGCTTTTTAAA